GAAAACTACAAGACACTACTGCAGGAAACCAAAAGAGACCTGCATAAGTGGAAAAACATACCTTGCTCATGAATAGGAAGACTCAACATTGTGAAAACGTCAATTCTACCCAAAACGATCTACAGATACAATGCAATCCTGATCCAAATTCTAATGATATTTTTTAATGAGATGGAGAAACAAATCATCAACTTCGTATGGAAAGGGAAGAGGCCCCAGATAAGTAAAGCATTACTCAAGAAGAAGAACAAAGTGGGAAGCCTCATACTACCTGATTTTAGAAACTTTCATGCTACCACAATAGTCAAAACAGCCTGGCACTGGTACAACAACAGATAACATAGACCAATGGAACAGAATTGAGAATCCGGACGTAAATTCATCCACCTATGAGCAGCTGATATTTGACAAAGCCCCAAAGTCTGTTAATTGGGGAAAAGACAGTATCTTTAACAAATGGTGCTGTCATAACTGGATATCCATCTGCAAAAACCTGAAACAAGACCCGTACCTCACAGCATGCACAAAAACTAACTCAAAATGGATCAAAGACCTAAATCCAAAATCCAAAATGATAAAGATCATGGAAGAAAAAATAGGGACAATGCCAGGAGCCCTAATACACAGCATAAACAGAATACAAACCATAAGTAACAATGCACAAACACCAAAAGAGAAACTAGATAACTGGGAGCTCCTAAAAATCAGACACTTATGCTCATCAAAAGACTTCACCAAAAGAGTAAAAAGACAACATACAGCTTGAGAAAAATTTTTGGCTATGACAAATCTGATTAGGGTCTAATCTCTAAAATTTGTCAGATACTGCAAAACCTCAACAACAAAAAGACAAATTACCCAATTAAAATATGGGTAAAGGATTTGAACAGGCACTTTACTGAAGAAGACATTCAGGCAGCTAACATACACATGAGGAAATGCTCACAGTCATTAGCCATTAGAGCAATGCAAATCAAAACTACAATGAGATACCATCTCACCCAACAAGGCTAGCATTAATCCAAAAAACACCAAATAATAAATGCTGGGGAAGTTGTGGAGAGACTGGAACTTATACACTGTTGGTGGGAATGTCAAATGGTACAACCACTTTGGAAATCGATTTGGCACTTCCTTAAAAAGCTAGAAATAGAAGCACCATACGATCCAGCAATCCCACTCCTTGGAATATATCCTAGAGAAATAAAAGCCATTACACGAATAGATATATGCACATCCATATTCATTGCAGCACTGTTCACGATAGCAAAAGATGGAAACAACCTAGGTGCCCATCAAGGGATAAATGGATAAACAAATTATAGTATATTCACACAATGGAATACTACACAATGATAAAGAACAACGATGAATCCGTGAAACATAACAGGGAGGAATCTGGAAGGCATTATGCTGAGTGAATTTAGTCAGTTGCAAAAGGACAAATATTGCATAAGACCACTATTATAAGAACTCAAGAAAAGGTTTTAACACAGAAGAAAACATTCTTTTATGGTTACAAGCAAGGGGAGGGAGGGAAAGGGGTATTCACTAACTAGATAGTAGACAAGAATTATCTTCAGTGAAGGGAAGGACAACACACACTACAGGGGAAATCAGCACAATTGGGCTAAAACAAAAGATTAGAGGCTTCCTGAATACAACCAAACACTTCGAGGGACAGAGTAGCAGGGGTGGGTGTCTGGGGATCATGCTTTCAGGGGACATCTAGGTCAACTGGCATAAAAAAATTTATTAAAATACTCTGCATCCCACTTTGGTGAGTGGTGTCGAGGGTCTTAAAAGCTAGTGGGCACCCAGCTAAGATGCATCAATTGGTCCCAATCTACCTGAGCAAAGGAGAATGAAGAACATCAAAGATACAAGGAAAATATTAGCCAAAGAGACAGAAAAGGCCACATAAACCAGAGACTCCATCAGCCTGAGACCAGAAGAACTAGATGGTGTCCGGCTACCACCAGTGACCACCCTGACAGGGAACACAACAGAGGGTCCCTGACGGACCAGGAGAAAAGTGTGGTGTAGAACTGAAATTCTAATAAAAAGACTACACTTAATGGTTTGACTGAGACTGGAGGGATA